AGGAACTGAGTCTCTTTAGTCTGAAGGGGGTGTCCCACACCGACAGGCTGAGGAACTGAGTCTCTTTAGTCTGAAGGGAGTGTCCCTCACTGACAGGCTGGAGGAACTGAGTCTCTTTAGTCTGTGTGTCCCACACTGACAGGCCGGAGGAACTGAGTCTCTTTCGTCTGAATGGAGTGTCCCTCACTGACAGGCTGGAAGAACTGAGCCTGAAAAGGAACTCAGTTACTGACTCAGTACTCAAAAATATTTGAACAAGTAATAGGTTTATTCCATGTTGAAGAAAAGAAGAAAAAAAACACAACGTTTCGGCCGTGGAGCCTTCTTCAGGTGTGAGGAAGACAGGGCAGTAAGCCTATTACTATTACTTGTTCCTTTGCAGCGTACGCATGCTGACACAGCTCCCCACCTGAACTACTCAAAAATATTGGCAACATCAGTCAGGAAAGACAAGTGGAAAGTATGTGGAAGTGGATTTAAAGCAGAGAGCAGGAGACATGTCTTTACCCCAAGGGTGGTGGGAGTGTGGAACAAGCTGCCCAGCCATGTTATTGAAACAGGCTGACTTTGGTTTCTCCTCAGGAAAGTGCTTTGGATGAGCTACAGTATCTAGCAGTTAGCAGTTAGGCTCCTGTGGCGTCTGACCTCTCTGATCTGCTGCAGGAGTCTGTGTGCGTTTTCTCTCCCAGACTGTCACATGCTCCGGACCATGACCCCCGAGAACATGTGCCACATGACCCCCCCTCCGCCGGGGCCCCCCCCGCCACACCACCACTACCCCAGCATGCACCGGGACATGTACCTAAAGGCCGAGCCCATGATGCCGCAGTACCCGCTGGGCGCCGGGCTGGGCGCCGGGCTGGGCGCCGGGCTGGGCGCCGGGGAGCTGCAGCAAGGCCAGCAGAGCCAGATGCAGACCCAGATGCTGCACCAGCTGCTGCAGCAGCAGCACAGCGCAGAGTGAGTATCCCACAGGGTGTGTGTGTGTGTGTGTGTGTGCGTGTGTGTGTGTGTGTGTGTGTGCGTGCTCCAGCACCTCATGCCTTCCCCTGTGTGTGCGTGTGTGTGCGTGTGTGTGTGTGTGTGTGTGTGTGTGCGTGCTCCAGCACCTCATGCCTTCCCGTGTGTGTGCGTGTGTGTGCGTGTGTGTGTGTGTGTTTGCTCCTGCGCCTCACGCATTCCCGTGCCTGTGTGTGTGTGTGTGTGTGTGTGTGTGCTCCTGCACCTCATGCCTTCCCGTGTGTGTGTGTGTTTGTGTGTGTGCTCCTGCACCTCATGCCTTCCCGTGTGTGTGTGTGTGTGTGTTTGTGTGTGTGCTCCTGCACGTCATGCCTTCCCGTGTGTGTGTGTGTGTGTGTGTGTGTGTGTGTGTGTGTGTGTGTGCTCCTGCGCCTCACGCATTCCCGTGCCTGTGTGTGGGAGTACAGGGGGATCCCGGTGCACCAGGCCAAGAAGAGGAAGCACTCGGACTCCCCCCCCAGCACGCTCAACGCGCAGATCCTGTCCGGCATCATCAAGCAGGAGCCAGGTGAGCTCATCACACCTGGCCAGCTCAGGCCACGAGATAAAACACACAGGGCTGAGCCCCTACGTTAATACTCCACAGCTCTGAGCTCCTACATCAATACTCACACAGGTCTGCACTCCTACATTAATACTCCACAGCTCTACACCCCTACATTAATACTCACACAGGTCTGCACTCCTACATTAATACTCACACAGGTTTGCACTCCTACGTTAATACTCACGCAGGCCTGCACTCCTATATTAATATTTGCACAAGTCTGTATCTCTATATTAATACTCACGCAGGTCTCCGTCCCTACATTGATACTCACACAGGTCTGCACTCCTACATTAATACTCATGCAGGTCTGAGCCCCTACGTTAACACTCACACAGGTCTGCACCCCTACATTAATACTCACACAAGTCTGCGTCTCTACATTGACGCTCATGCAGGTCTGAACCCCTACGTTAATACTCACACAGGTCTGCACTCCCACATTAATACTCACGCAGGTCTGCACTCCCACATTAATACTCACGCAGGTCTGCACTCCTACATTAATACTCACGCAGGTCTGCGCCCCTACATTAATACTCACACAAGTCTGCGTCTCTACATTGACGCCCATGCAGGTCTGAACCCCTACGTTAATACTCACACAGGTCTGCACTCTCACATTAATACTCACGCAGGTCTGCACTCCTACATTAATACTCACACAGGTCTGCACTCCCACATTAATACTCCACAGCTCTGCACCCCTACGTTAATACTCCACAGGTTTGCGCCCCTACATTAATACTCACACAGGTCTGCACTCCTACATTAATACTCATACAGCTCTACTCCCCTATAAGATAAGAGGGGGATAAGATCAGATAAGATCACTTTATTGGCCCTATACATTTCTTGTATGAGGAATTCATCTTTTCACAGACCCCAGCTTGCTCTCCATGAGACACACAGACAGGGAGAGAAGCTGGGGGTCAGAGCGCAGGGTCAGCCATTTATACAGCACCCCTGGAGCAGTTGGGGTTCAGGGCCTTGCTCAGGGGCCCAACAGAGTAGGATTCCTCTGCCGGCTGTGGGATGTGAACCGGCAACCTTCCAGCCACAGACGCAGTATTATATTAATACTGGCACTGATCTGTCCAGTTACACATAGCCTTCGGGCACACCTGGAGCACTACAGCTGCACTGCCAATCTGTGTCTCCGCAGGGCTGATGCAGGACGGGGACAGCTCCTATCTGGACCCTAATTACCAGTGCATAAAGTGGCAGCCCCACCAGCAGAACAAGTGGACTCCCCTGTACGACGCCAACTGCAAAGAGCTGTGAGTGTCCAGCAATCCTCCTGGGGAGCAGCGCAGGGGAGAGGGGCGGCGCCCTGGTGGAGGACACAGAACAGTACAGGGCAGGGAGAGAGGGGGACACAGGACAGGACAGGGGGGAGAGAGGGGGACACAGGACAGGGCAGGGGGGAGAGAGGGGAGCAG